GCAACCACGTAACTGTTTAGGGGTTTAAAGTCGTAAAAGGTAGTCGCGGAAGCCATGTCTGCTTTGTTTCGGGTTTGGAGATGAAGATGGAGATGGCAAGGGGAGTCGTTTCGAGTCGAGGAGATTCGTGGTGTTGTCGTCGAGGAGGCGCAAAGCTGGACCGCGAAAGTCGTACGAGTACGAATAGAGGACGGACGGTGGATGTCGGAGACGATAAAGCAGCGAGGTTGAAATGGTTGAAATGAGGAGAGATAATGTCGGTCAAGAAAACATGTTGTGGTTAGGAATGAAGTGCTTCTTCCGAGTCGTGCGACGGGCATTGAGTAAGCAGATGGAGGGAAGCTGGTTTCACAAGACCGAAGTTCGGAGCTTGAGATCCATCCTATCCCTATCCTCGGGGGGGAGATGAAGCACGTCGCTTGGGCCACTTTGGCGGGGTCGCGTCGGAGCTTCACATGTGTTGCAAATTCGTGGCGAGACACTGTGCACTGGTCACCGATACAACTTTTGTCATGTCTTCATTTATTTTGGTAAGTACTGTAGACTTTTTGACACCGGTATCACACTGTGTAACCTCCCTGGTTACATCATTCTCAGTCGAAAGGTCAATATCGGGCAGGAGGGACTTACTTCGTACCTACCTAAGGTACCTAAGGTACCTCTGTCTGAAGACCTTGAGTTCTAGGTACGTACCTTACCTTATGGTAAAAGGTAAGGCAACTTGGATCGACTTGGATATAACCTCTCCCTTACCTATACCCACAAGCATGACATAATTCAGCCATGGATCCCTTGGCCCAAAGGAATATCATCATCGTCGGTGTGTGATCCTCCCATGAACTTGAGCTCCTCAACCTGCTGTCAAGACAAAGAAGACAAACATGCTGACCCCTTCTCTCTCATCTCTCTCTCCCACTTACTCGCTCAGGGGGCGGTATCATTGGCACCACCACGGCCTACTTCCTCTCCCGCCATCCCAAGTTTAATCCGGCCCTACATCGCATCACCATCCTCGAGGCCACATCCATCGCTGCCGGTGCTTCGGGGAAAGCAGGTGGTCTCCTCGCCCTCTGGGCCTACCCATCCTGCCTCGTGCCGCTTTCCTACCGTCTGCATGCTGAGTTGGCCCAAGAACACGGCGGTGCCACTCGCTGGGGTTACCGTAAGGTGAACTGCGGAAGCATCGACGTTACCGTCACGCGCGAGTCGCTACAAGCTCAGCAGCAACTGGCTCATGCCACCTCTTCTACCTCCATGGCCTCCTCTTCGACCACCACCGGCGCAACACCCAATGTCGCTCCAGGGACCTCGGAGGAAGAGAAAGACTGGGAGAAGTTACCTAAACAAGACGCAGCAGCCGAGCATCTCCTGACCGACTCTGTCCTCCCCCATGACCTGGACTGGGTAAACCGCGCCGTGGTGGACGCCTACCAAGACATGGGCGCGCCCGGCACCACCGAGACGGCCCAAGTCCACCCCTTCCACTTCACCACCTCCATGGCCGCGCTAGCCCAGGAGCGCGGTGTCCAGATCCTGACCCGCGCCAAGGTGACCAAGATCAACTCGTCCCCGTCGGGGGTCCGGAGCGTAGAGTACCTCAACCGCGACGACGACGACGACAACGACGACGACGACAACAACGACGACGACGACAACAACGACGACGGCAGTCACGGCGCCCACATCACCATCCCCGACGTGACCGACGTAATAGTCACCGCAGGGCCCTGGACCGGCCGCGTCCTCCCCAAATCCAAAGTCGAGGGCCTCCGCGCCCACAGCGTGGTCTACGAAGCCGACGTCTCCCCCCACGCCGTCTTCACCCGCGTGCTCCTCCCCGACGGCTACGTCCCTCCCCACCGCGCCTCCCGCGGCCGCCAGCAGCGGCGCAAGCACAAGCACAGCAGCCGCTTCGTCGACCCGGAGATCTACGCCCGCCCCTTCCGCGAGGTCTACGCCTGCGGCGAACCCGACCGCGCCGCCCCGCTCCCGGACACGGCGGATCGGGTCCGCGTCGACGATGGCGCCTGCGACGACCTCCTTGCCTATATTGCCACGTTTTCCCCCGCGCTCGCTGCTGCCCCGGTCAAGGCCCGTCAGGCTTGTTACCTCCCGCAACGCGAGGGGGGCCCGCTTATCGGCGCTACGTCTGTCCCTGGCCTTTGGGTCGCTGCTGGGCATACTTGCTGGGGTATCCAGAACGGGCCTGCGACGGGCAAGCTCATGTCTGAGTTTGTTTTTGATGGCAGGGCTGTCAGTTCGGATATTTCCGAGTTGGATCCGAGGCGGTATAGCAGGGTCTGATGGTCTGATGGTCTGATGGGGTGGCATAGGGTGAGGAGGGTGGGAGGGCTCGTTTGGTTTCAAAAGCGATTGAATTGTAGACTTTCTTCCATGTATCATTAGAGGGTGCAAAGCAAAGCTGGAATGCCGGTGTTTGTCTAGACCGGCTTTGTGCGTACGTACGCATTACCGTTATGACGAAGAATGGGTGAGTTTGGGGACCATGGAGCTTTGAAATGATGACCATCTGTTTCTCGAGTTTTGGCCATATCTGTCTCTATACTCGACTGATGGGAATGTTTGGCATCACACTTACGACATGAACATGAGAAATTAACCAGGTGAACTGGATTCTCAAAAGAACGCAAAAGGAGAAGAGGTCAAGATGTCAAGATGCACGAGTATGCTCACTGGTATGGTGTGGGACATCGTCATCCCCCCTTTTCACATCAATACATATTATGACGTTCATGACGATCAAGAAAAGTAGACTCTGCGTTCATACTTCTTCCTGCCTATAGAGAGTTCTCAATCTCCATAATCTCCTTTATCCCATCAGCAATATACCGGGTCCTCTCCTCATCGAGCCGCTTCAACGGGCGGCGGCCGTAGCCACCATAGCCGAAATAACTCTGGATAGCGCCCTTGGTACCGGGGACCGCAGCCTTGGTGAGGAACCAGTCCGCGCGGCTCAGCTCCTTCTGCAAAGCGATCGCCTCCTCCGTCTTCCCCTCGGCGTAGAGGTTCCACACGCGGGCGCACACGCGGGGCATGACGTTGGCCCCGCCGGCGATGATGCCGCTACCGCCGCTCGCCAGGGTCTGGACGGTGAAGTCGCACATGCCGCCAAACGCCATATACCCGGACCCTTGCGAACGCGGCGTCTTGGCGTCGGCGGCGAGGGCGACGCGGGTCAGCTTGCCGTTGTTGCCGCAGGTGAACTTGGTGCCGGCGATGTTGGGGTGGCGCGCCAACCGAACGAGAAGATCGCTGTCCATGTCGATGCCCGAGACGGCGCCGGGGTAGTTGTACAGGATCAGCGGGAGGGGGCTCGCGTCGGCCACGGCGGCAAAATAGTCGTGGATGGCCTCCTCGTCCATCTGGCTGCGGAAGTAGGACGGCGGGAGGATCAGGGCGTAGTCGGCCCCCGCGGCGGGGGCTAGCTGGCAGAGCTCGACGGTGCCGCGCACGCTGCCCTCGGTGGCGCCGATGATGACGGGGGTCTGGGGGAAGCCGGCGGCGTCGAGGGCCTCCCGCGTGGCTTTGGTGACGGCCAGCTTCTCCTCGCGCGTGCAGTGGGCGGCTTCGCCGTTGGAGCCCATGGTCACCAGCCCGACGAGACCAGCGCGGACGAGACGCTCCGAGTGCTTCTTGATGGTGGGGATGTCGAGGTCTTCGGTTTCGGGGTCGAAGAAGGTCATGGTTGGGGCGTAGACGCCGCAGGGGAGCGGCCGTCGGGTCGCTTGACCGTTCGAACCGTTCGAGGCTTGGGGCATGTTGAGGAGGCTTGCGAGGAGGAGAATGGAGATAGGATAGAGGGAGTAGAATGATCGGTCTATCACCGATCCCGGTGGGTAACTTGGAAAACAAAAAGAGTCTAGAAAAGAAGAGAAAGGGGAAATTAGGGTGCATTCCGGTATGCGGCATATAGAAAGTGTATTGTTGATGTAATACTTTTATACAAAAGGCAGACAAGTCACGAACAAGAGGCCTCGTGGAAACCATGACGGATTGGTGGTCACTGGTTACTGGACCGCGAGAAGAAGACCGATTCAAGATCCGGGGGCGGGGGTTCATTGAGAGGTGTGTGTACGTGTACGTGTGCGTATGTGGTGTATTGGCCTGGGGTCTAGTAAGAGGTCGTCGTGTGTGAATTAACCCGACTTACAGGTCGACAGAAGGCGAGATGAGTACGGATATGCGAAGGTGTACCAATGGGTAGATAGTAGATAGACCCATAGGCCTCTTCAGACCCAGCGGCTAGGGCACTTCGGTCAATGAGACAATTGCCGTGGGGAGGGACGAAGCACCCCTCTCTGTCTCTGTCCACTTGGGAGGACTCCATTGTGTTGATGGACGACAGACAGTACTGGTGGAGAAGGCAGGGGGGTGGTCGGGACTCGGTGTTCGGGTTAAATGCCGGCCTCATCGGATAGGGACTGCACATATTTTGAATTTTCCGACAGGTTCATTTCACCTCGCAAGATATGATTAAATAGCACACGGCCAGTAGGGTATAAGGAGGCGAGGTCATGTCGAAGCGGTTCGTTCCTCGAGATGGGAGACGTGGTAAGGGGTGGGAGAGGCGTTGCTGTGTTTCGTGTTTCGGTAATGGGGAAATCCAAGAGGTCAAGGCGAAAACCACAATATGTAAAGTGCGTTAAGTGGACCAAGAGGTAATTAATGTGCAAGGTTCAGAGTTGAACTCGAGGATTGTCTGAGGCTGGTTTAGGAGTTGGAGAGAAGAGGAAGAGGGAAGAATATGGGGAGAGGGAGGTTATGGAAGTGGAGAAATAGGAGGGGTGTTTTTCCACGAATCAGGTCAACTAAATAATGCCCGGTCACATAGGACGTGGGGGAACACTGCAGTAGCTCAATGGCGGGGCACAGGACATGGCGGGGGCGGGGGCGGGGGCAGGGGCGCGGTTACTGGGGGGTTCAAATCCAGGTACAACGTACTGTACCTCGCTCATCCTCATGACCTTCTTTCCTCTAACATCTCGGCTATCCTTAGAAGGTAGCTGCACTCCGTATTATCCCTCCAATGGCTTTTGCGCACCTCGCACCCCACGTTCGACGTGCATTTCCATAAGGTAAGGTACCTAAGGTAGAAAGAGACAGGTAGTACATACATACTCTGTATACCTTACGGTACATACCTACATTGAACCCCTCTACGTCACCCCCGCTGACTTCTACTTGGCCCCTCGTGTTCCGAAGCTCTCCTCTACGTTCCTCCGTCTCTCGATCGCTCCATCGTCAAGTTATCCCGACCTCGAGAACTTCAGCAAACTGTCCTGTGCTAAACCAGATCTCGGCCTCAGCTATCATAATCTCACCCCTCTCTCCTAATACGCTTCCTTTCCTTCTAACACTGGCCCCCTTCATCCTGTCTGATACACGATGGGCGAACCACTAAATGTGTTGATGGTATGTACCAGTCGAATCTACCAACTCCATCAGACCTAGGAATCTGGGAAGACGAGAACGGCGAACCAGGACTGACTGACTGACTGTTTTATGGCTAGATCGGCACGGGCGAGTATACCACCGGCTTCGTCGGTGGTGGCGCCTCCGGATCCGACAAGAAGGTCGGTGTTGTTGGTCTCTCGCTTTTCGACTTGAGGAGACGCGGCAAGGTCGCCAAACTGTCCATGGTTGGCACCAATGGCACCAAGTTTCCGGCCATTCGTGAGTAGCACTGCGTCTCTCCGTCTCTCTCATCTGCCTGTCCAACGCAATCTAACTAACCCCCACCCCAGGCGAGCACCTACACACGAACATCTCCCAGGTGTACAATAACCTCGACACCTCCTTCGACTCGTACCCAGCCAACGGCGTGAAGGACCCCGACGCCTACAAGACGGCCATCGACGCCCTCCAGCCGGGCGACGCCGTCACCATCTTCACCCCCGACACCACCCACTTCCCCATCGCCCTCTACGCCATCGAACGAGGCATCCACGTCCTCCTGACCAAGCCGGCCGTCAAGCTCCTCGAGCACCACAAGCAGCTCATCGCAGCCGCCGAGAAGAAGGGCGTGTACGTCTACGTAGAGCACCACAAGCGCTTCGACCCGGCCTACTCGGACGCCCGCTTCAAGGCCCAGAAGCTGGGCGACTTCAACTACTTCTACAGCTACATGTCGCAGCCCAAGTCGCAGCTCGAGACCTTCAAGGCCTGGGCCGGCGTCGACTCGGACATCTCCTACTACCTCAACAGCCACCACGTCGACATTTGCGACTCCATGGTCGCCCCGCTCGGCTACCGGCCTGTCGGCGTCACCGCCTCGGCCTCCAAGGGCGTCGCTGCGGGGTTGGGCTGCGACCCGGCCACCGAGGACACCATCACGCTGCTCGTCCGCTGGGAGAGGCGCGACGACCCCACCAAGAGCGCCACCGCCGTCTACACCGCCTCGTGGACCGCCCCGCAGCGCGCCGGCGTGCACTCGAACCAGTACTTCCACTACCTCGCCCGCGACGGCGAGGTCCGCGTCGACCAGGCCAAGCGGGGGTACGATGTCGCCGACGACGCGGTCGGCCAGCTCATGTGGTACAACCCGTTCTACATGCGCTACGCCCCGGACGACGATGGCAACTTTAATGGCCAGACCGGCTACGGCTACATCTCCATCGAGAAGTTCGTGGACGGTTGTAGGCAGGTCAATGCCGGTGCGCTTCGCCCCGCTGACCTGGACGCCAAGGGTCTGCCGACCCTGCGCAACACTGTCGCTACCACCGCCATTCTCGAGGCCGGGCGGCGGAGCATTGATGAGGGGAGGGAGGTGCGTATTGTCGAGGAGAATGGCCTTTTCAGTCTCGTGTAGTGTATAGTACGTGTCAAACGGATAGTGAACCATAACGAAGCAAGTCTCGTGAGCTCGTGAGCTTCGAGTATGGAGTACTGTATGTAGTGGCTTTGTGCGTCCCATATGTCCCTGAAGTGAAGGGGCAACTTGCCCATCAATACTTTGGCTTCTCGACAGGGTTTAACTGGCAACTAGCAATTGGTGATGAGGAAAAAAAAAAAAAAAACCACAACACATCACCACCCAGCCTTCAACCGCTCGGCAAAGAACTTCATAATGGGAAACATCTCCACCCTGTCCCGTGGCATTGCCACCTCCCTCGGCCACCTCACCACCTCGACCTGTGCAAACTCCTCCCGCACAGCATCGGACTCTTCCTCGTCAAGCTGACACACCAACACCGGTGTGCGGGACTTGGTCCGACTACTCGACCCCATGCTCGGGACCAGAGAAGGTGGTAGCGGCCCACCAATCGACACGACGCCCTTGAATTTCCGCCCTTTCTCATTTTTCTTTTCCTTGTCCTTGTCCTTGTCCTCGTCCTCGTCCTCGTCCTTCCCCGCCGAGGCGGCCCCCGTGCTCGCACTCACGTCCACCACACGGGGCCCAGCCCGCAACGCAGCCGCCAGCCCCAGCGCCAGCGAACCCCCCTGGCCGAACCCAAAGAGCATGACATCATCCGTGGTCCAGCCGCACCTCTCGAGGAGGACATGCCGCACCAGCCGGTCCAGAACCACGTCTCTTGCCCGCGTGAACCCCGGGTCCGGGTCGAGCTCGTCGGTGGATGGGTCGACTTTGATGTCGTCGCCCCAGTGGAAATAATGGCCGCCGTCGCCGCCGCCGCCGCTGCCGCTGCCGCTACCGGTCGCCATGCCCGGCTCGGTTCCCAGGAGAGCGGCGGGCAGGGGACTGGTTCCGCGGACGGAGATGCAGAGGACACCGGGGAGGGACATGTTCTTCGCGAAGGACGCGAAGGGGGTTTCGGAGTCGCCTAGGCCATGGAAGAGGATGAGGAAGGAGGTGGTTAGTTCGGCGGGTTGTGGCCAGGTGAGGGTGAGGGGGAGGATGGAGGAGAGGGAGGTGAAGTCTGCTTCGGTTGGGACGCGGGCTGGCATGATTTCGGCTTTTTATTTTCTTGTTTTCAGTGATGCGAGATGAGAAATCATGGAAAAGTCGTGAGAAGTCGTGAGAAGTCATGAGAAGTCAAGTCGATGACTTGTGATGTGGATGGAGCTCACAACAGTGAAAAGAACATGTGATGTTGATTACGAATCATAATACGAATACGAAGTACACCGTGTTTGGAAGGGCAGGTGGAAACGGCCGTTGACATCCGACAGTTAGTACCGTAGTCTACCCATTTTTAGACGTCTCGGTCAGGGGTCTCAGATCTTCACTCTTCACAACTTCACAGCCCCCCATCTCCGCCTCCTCACCCCACAACCTTAGGAAACCGCCTCTCCCATCGGATCACGGCAGGCTGATTAGGTCGTGAGAACAGAGAAGAATAATCCGTCGGCGGCACCCACGACTTGCCATCGAGCGTGCCGAACCGGAAATTCCGCACCAACGTCGCAACAATCGTGCAAAGGTTGACGTACGCGAACTTCTCCCCGATACACCGGTGCCGCCCGGCGCCGAACGGGAGATACGGGCTCTTGGTGCCCTTGGACGTGATCCCGTACCCATAGTCCACCAGATCCTCCGCGGCGTCCTCGCCCTCCTCCTCCTCCCCCCCCTCCTCGTCGCCCCCCGGCTTCGCATCCCAGCGGTGCGGATCCCACGTCTCCGCGTCCGGGAAGTAACCCGCATCCATGTGCGTCACGATGGGGGCCGCCACCAGCACCTTATCCGGCGTGACGACATAATCCGTCCCGGGCACCGGCATCGGGTTCTTCACCTTGCGCATGATGGTGTGGATCGACGAGTTGACCCGCAGCGTCTCCCGGACCACGTTTTGCAGCAACGGCAGCTTGTCGATGTCCTCGTACCGCAGCTGTGGGATTTCTTCTTTGTTTCCGTCGTGGCGGCCGCCCAGGTTCATCGCCTGCTCCCGGTACACCTCCTCCGCGATATCCGGCCGCGACGCCAACCGCAGCATGATCCACGCGCTCGACGACGCGGAGCTATGCTGCCCCGCCATCAACAACGTGATCATCATGTGCGCGATTTCCTTGTCCGGCACCGGCCGTCCGTCCTTGTAGGTACACCGCATCAGGTTCCAGATCATGTCGGGCTCCTCCCCTTCTTCGCGCATGCCGTTCGCCCGCCGCCGCCGGATGATGTCCGTGTACACGGCGCGCATCTTGGCGTGGGCGGCGTCGCGCCGACGATTCTGCGGCAGCGGCGCCCACGGCATGACGAAGTTGATGGGCCGGAACCCGCCGTCCAGGTCGTGGTACAGGTCGGCGAACTCGGTCGTCAGCTTGGCGCGGACCTCGGCGCCCTGGAGCGCCCTTGCGGCGGTGAAGAGGGTGATTTGCGCCATGGCGGCCGTGATGTCGACCGTACCGCTACGCGCTTCTTCGCCTTGCTGCCCGAAGGCCGGCGCCGAGGCGATGTAGCCGAGCACTTCCTCCTCGATGAGCTGCACGTGCGACGCGAGGGCGGCCTGGGTGAGGCCGAACTTGATGAACTTTTTCTGTTCCATGAGCTTCGCGTTGGGGCAGTCGTAGACGACGTCGCTGCCGAAGACGGGGGTGGTGAGGGGCGAGTAGATCTCCTCGGCGTTGACGTCCTTGAGCTTGCCGTTGAGGATGAACTCGTTGCCCCCGATGCCGAGGTAGACTGTCATTTTTCGGCCGAAGAGGATGAAGGTGAAGATGTCGCCGTGCTGTTATGGGGGGAAGGAAGTTAGCGACGAGCTCATTTCCAGGGGGTGGAAGAGGTAAGGTATTCGCGAAGGGGGGAAGGGGGACGTCGTTTACCTTTTCACGACGCCGGACATAGAATCGAAATGGGTCCATGCCGTACGACACGGCGTTTCCGACAAAAGGGATCCAGTGGAAGACAAGAGGAGGCTCCGTCTTTGGACGTGGGAGACACTGTCGGAGGACGTTGAGGAAGATGGCAACGAGCAGGAGTCCTGCGGTGTAGACCGGAACCTGAACGAGCCATCCTCCGCTCTTCGGCCAGGGCAACAAAGAGGTCAGGAGGAGATTCATCGCGACAGTCGGCAGATCAGAAGATTGGGAGAGCAAACTAAGGGAAGAGATATCGGGTCTTTCCAGGCGAAGACGATGAAACTGGATCTCGCTGGCGAGTTGATCATGGAAGTCGATGTAAAGACGAGCAGAGGAGACACGTTAAATACCCAGAACAATCAAGTCCTACAGAGGACCAAAAGAAGAACAAGAAAATAACTGAATATAAAATCGAGCTATACATGGGAAGTATCAAGGGGTTACAGTTGCAGAACAGGCACAAGCGTTGATACCTACCTGTAGTAACGTTTGTCGTTCGTATTCGTATTGAGTGTACGGAGTACCAGGGTACTTCCCAGGCCCACGTCTCCGGGTCGGGGCTGGGAGATATCCACGTAGGGTCTGCTCGTATTCGCTTTCAATCTTTGCGTTTCACTTACAGGAGCCTCCAGTTCGTTCTTCTATTTTATTTTATTTTATTTTATTTCATCTTTTTAATTTCGTTATTGTTTTCACAAACACAGGCAATAGGGGGCTGGCGGCTTAGGGGCTGTTAATACGTCGATACATACGTCGGTACTTCTGAGGGGTTTCATCAAAGTCCAGGGGTCAAAAGGGGGGACATGAGGTAGATCGAGAATATATACTTACATATGCGTCTTATTCTCTGATATATTGAATGCCATGTTCCTTATGGGGAAACGCGCAAAATAAAGACCAAGAGTCTACAAGTGTCCATAGGCAAGTCGCACGAATATTCTAGTACATCTATTCTAAGCGTCTACCTTAGGTATGTAACAAAGCTCTGTGTAGCCACCGCTAGCCACTTCTACCTTACACCCTCCGTTTCCTCTGCACCAGATGCTCATCCGCCTCCTCCTCCTCCCTCCTTACCCGGACCTTGCTCGGCCCGGGCGGCATCTCAACCCACCCGCCCTCGGCATTCCACACACCAGCCCGGGTATAATCCCACGTCCTACTCCCCTCCATGTACCCAAATCGGAAGTACTCATTGAGACGGAGCTCCGGGTCCCGCGTCCAAACAAAGCTGCGCTGCCGGTCCAACAGCGACACGTCGTCGCCATCGTCGTCGTAGTAGCCGCGGAACCGCTCCACGTCGTTCACCAGAACGCTGATTCCGTCGTAGCGGGGCGCATGCGGGGCCGCCCAGGTCAGGTTGATGGTCCAGAGCGCGTGGCCCAGGTCGATGACGGGCGGCAGGACGACGGGCAGGGGCGAGTTGTGCTGGGCGTCCCCCTGCAGGGCGGCGGGGGTCTGCAGGACGGGGTCGAACCCCCAGCGGGCGATGCCGTTGATGAAGAGGCCGATGAGCAGGCCCTGGTAGAGCAGGGACGGGCGCGTCTGCATGCTGGTGCCCGGCAGCAGGAGCAGGGCGAGGATGTAGTGGTGGATGCGCAGCTCGAGGCCGGGCAGGGCGATGGCGATGACGATGCCGAGGAGGAAGAGGCCGTAGAGTTGGAGGTGGCTCAGAAAACGACCCTCTTGCTGGAAGAACCAGGCTTGGACGACGACGATGCAGAAGAGGACGATGACGATGACGGCGAGGGCGGCTTGGGCGCCGGGCTGCTGGTTGAGGTCGTGGGCGGTCAGCCGGGAGATGGGGATGAAGTCGAGGGTGTAATTGGTCAGGGCGCCCACCCAGCAGGCGCCGAGCCAGAGGACCGTCTTCTCGACCTGGGCCGTCAGGCCACGGCGGAGGGTGCGGCGCACGCCCATCTTGTCGTACATGACCCAGGCGCAGAACATGGCGGGCAGGAACCGACCCAGGACGGTGGACACGAGGCCCGGGATCGAGTTGTGCTGGGGCTGGTCGGAGGCCATGCCGACGTGCCAGAAGATGGCGACGAAGCTGGCGAAGAAGAAGAGGGCGGAAGACGAGGTGAAGAGGGAGAGGACGGAGGAGAAGACCACGGAGACGGCGAGCAGGTCCCAGCGCATGTCGCGCGCGCGGCAGGACACGTCGGGCTCGAAGGTGAAGGAGAGCGGGAAATGCGAATCGAACGAGATGCTGTCGATGCCGTTGCGGCTCGAGCCGACGTAGCCTTCGTGTTGGCCGACGAGGCGGACGACGCCGCAGCCACCCTCGGTGTTGGACACGACGCCGGCGTGGATGGCGGCCGGGCAGATGAAGGAGTCGCCCCTGTACACGGGCATACCACTGGCGTCGTCGTCGTCGTCGTCGTCGTCGTCGTTACTACCGGGACCGCCGATGACAAAGGGCTGGTAGATAATCTCCTGGTCTCCCACAGCGCGGGGGTTGAGCACACGGTGATCCCGACAGCTGGCAGCGCAACGAAAGGCGAAACCGCTGCCGTTGAAGGGCCGGCAGTCGTTCCCATGCAGGCCGCAACGGTTCCCGGCAGCCCAGTAGGTGGCGCCGCAGCCAATGTCGCGCGGTTCCCCCCATCCGGCCACGTCGGAAGCGAAGGTCTCCTCTCGTTTGACCAGGGCGAAGGTGACGATCCAGACGGCGAGGTAGATAAAGACGAGGGCGAAGCGCTGACGCCGCCTGGGGACGAACTTGTCTACGAGCCAGAGGGGGGATTGCTGAACGCGCGGGAAGAAGGGCTCGATCTTCCACTGCTTCGGGTGGGGGGGGCCTTTCGCCCAGCGCGAGGCGGCCTTGGACAAGCGACGGATGGGGTAGGGGACCCATTTCCACCGTTTCGACGGGCCCTGGCCTTCGTTATCGTTCTGGTCCTGCATGAAGCGTGGCGTCGAAGCAAAGGAGTTCTCAAGTTCAAGCTGATCACCTCGGGTTCTGTCCCTGTCGTCGTCCAGCGTGTCGTCCGGATGTTGGAGTTCGGTGGGGGTTGCGAGTGGTGTTTTCTTTGGGAGGGCATCGGCAGGCCTTTCGGCCGCTTCTTGTCGTCGTTCCATGTCGGTCAAAAGGGGAGTGATTTCGACATTGCGGTCCTCATTCACCATGCTACCGGAGGGGAGGTATAGATTGAGGAAGAAGAAGAAGAAGAGGAGGAGGAAGATTGGGCAAAGGAGATGGAAGAAGAGGGAGTGGAGGACAATCTGCAGGGTTCCTTGACGGGCGGGGAGGCTTAGGGGATTAGGGGACGATGAGGCTGTGCCAAGGACTGCTGTCAGCAAGGATCCTGGGCCTGATTGAGGGGGGCCATGTCGGATCAAATCCCTGGGCTTACCGAAGGGAGAATATGCAGGCAAATCTCTCTTAACGGTAGTGTAAAGAAAGGTACGTTGTACAGCAAGATGTAGGATACAGACTAAACATGTGTAGGAGATGCAAAAAGAATGTATATTCGGACATGAAGAGCCAAAGACGGATTGATTGCCCAAGCCAGGTAGATGAGCGAGAGACAAAAGTGAGGGCGTAGAGATGAAAATGTCCGTAAACATCCACCGAGACAATGGAAGGGGGGGGCGCTTAATAACAACCCCAGTGTCCTCGTGCATATCTCGTTCTGGCCGGGGGTCTGTGCTAATGTACAAACGTAGGGAGTACACTACTTCGGACGAAGCACTTTGTCCTGTGGATGTCATGTACTAGAAGTTCCTTAGATATGATTGGAGACTGCATTGTGTTTGTTGTTTTACCTATTGGGAGGAAGCTGCGACGGGGCCGAATCCTTCCCTCTTGGCGGTTTATGGTCTCTGTTCGAATGGACGAAGTATTTTCGTCGGTTGTGTTGTGGAAGGGACGTTGTCAAGCCACATACCTACCTTAACCACACTTTAATGAGAGAGCTTATGTACTGGGTACTCGGTACTCGGTACTCGGCGATTCTCCGTGCGTCTGTTTGACTCGTGTGTGGCTGTCCAAGGGCTTATGGGTTCTGAATCCGTTTATAACTTAATTTCATATTATCTTCATAACATCGTCGTCATCATCACCAGGCAATTCCCACGTTGTCCCCCAAATCCAATGTGGAAGACGCATTTATTCCTCGCGTACATTACCATAACTTATTATGAGGTTGAACGGGACCTGCACGTAGAACATAGCCTGTCTCACAGTGAAACCAACCAAGGTAGCTACGGCTACGGATGGTCTTCGCTTCCCCAGGTACGGTCGGTCGTAGGGCTGAGGATCTGGCACATGATTCTCATCAATCGGCCAACTCAGGGGTACCCGTAGTGCGCCACCTCACGTTGGGTGTACGAATGTAGAATACCTTGGGTAGGTCGTCGTGAGACTTGGTTGATATCAGTATCTGTACTTCTGATTATGTACGGAGCCCGAGTCCGTCGTACCTACCTATTTTTAACATATAATTAAGGTATTATAGGTACCAGCATGGATTACTATGGGTCACGCACGGACTAAAACGGAGTTTTAGTGTTCCTCTACCTAGGTACCTACCTTAGGTACCTTAATAAGGTAGCCGTACTAATAAGTACTCTGTACACGTGACGGTGGATTTGGCAGGTTTGAGAAAACGGAAACGGCCTCCTTTCCCCTCATATCGTCGTCGATCATGATTCAAAGTTTGCCCACACGAAGACATCTCATAAACCCAAGAGTTAAACCGCAGTGCCCTGTCACCTCACCGTCATATTCCCCATGTTAAATAGCATCTTCAAACCATTCTAGACGCTTTGTACTACGACCACAAAGGAACAACCCCGGCCGCGGCTCGCCATAACAAATTTTCGTATCAACAATTTTTCACTCTTCCGGTTCGAGGACCATGTCACCATGACCGATGCGCCAGACCCTTCCATCGAGTCACAGGAGGACATGCCGTTCCGAGTACTCAAAGACGCCTTGACAGATGGCCTGGCAGCACGCCTCGGCAGGCTCTCCCTGCCCAGGCGCCGTCCCATCGAGACCCCCAACTTCATCGCAGTCGCTTCAAGAGGCGTCGTCCCTCACCTCACCCCTGACAACATAACGAGGCATACCTCCTTTGGGGGCGCTCACATGGCTCTCGAAGACTGTGAGTCTAGTCTCCCGTGCCCTCTGCCATCCCTCGCCCTCGCCCTCGCCCTCGCTTCGTCTCTAGTGGACTTGGACTCATCACTCACCCCTCCCTTCAATTTCATTCAGTCTTAGACAAGAAGGAGCCCGCCATCCTCAACGTGCCGCCATCCCAGTCCAAGGTCCTACACAGCTTTACCGCCTTCCCGCAACACCTAGCCACCGTACTAGGCCCTCGCCGCTGCCCCCCCGTCAGGACACCTTCCGGCAACGGCAGCAAATCCCTCACCATATGGACTTCCAACGGCGGCGCCTCCCTCACCATCGCCGAATACGCCACCTACGTCGAAAAGCTACAACCGGACATCGCCGTGGGTCCAGCCGACCTGTTCCACACGAGTCCCACGCCGTCCAAGAAGCTCGTCCGCATGGCCGAGCGGACCGAAGACTGGATGGACCAGTTCCTCCTCGACGGCCACGGCCGCCCCGACCGGCTGCGCGACGCCGACGTCGCCATCTTCGCCCCCGTCCTGAGCGCCCCTTACCCCATACAATGGCAGTACCTCAACTCCCTCGCCGAGGACCACGCGGGGCACCTGTCCGGTCTCGCCTTGTACGGCGTCGACATCCTGCCCGAGGTGACGGAGAACCACGAGTCCCTCGTGCCGTTGGCGCGCCTATCTATGCAACTCCCGCCATCGCCCCAAGACGTCTTGGCCCAGGTCGCGGCCGGTATTGACGTCTGCACGATCCCATTCGTCAACAGCGCATCGGATGCTGGGGTGGCTCTCGCGTTCCAGTTCCCTCCTCCCGTTGCAGGTGTGGCGGGCGATCTGCAGGGACCTGGGGTGACCGCCGCTACCGCTACGCCCCGCCCTCTCGGCATCGACATGTGGTCGCCCGACCATGTCACCTCGCCGAGCCCCTTCGTGGAAGGGTGCCCGTGCTACGCTTGCACCAAACATCACCGGGCCTACGTCCACCATCTGCTCCGGGCCCACGAGATGCTGGCCTGGACCCTGCTGCAGATCCACAACCACCACGTGCTGAGCGCCTTCTTCGAGTCGATCCGCTGCGTCCTAGAGACGGCGCCGGGTGCGGCCTTTCGAGAATACGTCCGCAGCTTCGCAGACACCTACGAGTCCGAGATACCCTTGGGGACCGGTACGCGGCCGAGGGTGCGGGGTTATCATTTTAAGAGCGAGGGCGGCGAGGGCAAGGCCAACACGCCCAGGTGGGAGAAGTACGACGGCGCCACGGCGGAGGGAAGCATGCCATGTTCAGAAAACGCACAGTTGACAACGGCGAGTAACGCCCACAACCAAACTGAGAACGGCGGAGACGAGCACGAGGGCCAGTGGCATGCGACATTGGGCTGCCACAGCGACGCACAGCAAGGGAGCACGAAATGAGCCTGGTATTCCATACGTACGTCGTACACGAAGAGCATCTCCCTCCTTCCCCGTGTCAAATACCACCCATTGACGAATCATGCCCGAGACGTGTTCTGCCCAAGAAGCTGCCGCGACGGATGGGGCCTCTCGGGTCTCAAAATTATGGAGGGGGAGTTCCTTCGACACCTTCGACATCGCCCTCCCGCTCCCCCTTATTCGTCATTCTGGTCCCTGTCCTGTGCCTGTCCCTGTCTCACGTCTCACGTCTCACGTTCCCACATCACATGTGATTATAATAAATATAATGATCGCCCTGTTTCTCCCTCAGACGCGGCCTGCTTGTCGCTGGTTTTTCGCGTCGCCCTCGGCTGCCCTTCCTAAGCCGATCCGCCCGCCCATCCTTCCAGGCTTCCCCACCCTCTTTTCTTTTCTTTTCTCTTCTAGATCACCGCCGCTCGTCTCATCGGCCACAGGAGCATCAACGGCAAGTATCAGACCAAGCTCAAGCTCGACGAGTTCCCCGTCATCGGTCACCAGACGACGCACTCCATCGACACCTTCATTACCGACTCTGCCAACTCTGCTTCGGCCTTGTACAGCGGGCACAAGAGCACGGTCAACGCCATGGGGGTGAGTTTGGGACAAGTCGAAAATGGAGCTGAGAAGGCGGTTCCTTGAACTAAGAAAACGCTTTCCAAAGCGTCTATGCCGACTCTTCCCCTGATGTCTTTGAAGGGCCTCGGCATCTTTTCCCGGAGCAACCTGCCCACCTGGCTTGACCGCAACGTCTACACCGAGAACCTCCGGGGCCTCTCCAACGACCCGGCGGGCTTCGGCGCGCACCCGGACATCCGCGAGGACTTCCAGGTCAGGGAGAATGCCGCGCGCGTGCCGGCGGTCCGCGGACCGGGCGACTACGGCCACGTGGCTAACCCGGGCCAGGCGGTCGACGGGTTCGTCACCAACGGCACCATCCCGACCAGCGAGTCCCAGGGCGTCCATTCCCTGACGGACGTCATGGTCTACGCGATGGGACCGTGCCAGGAGATCTTCGGGGGCACGTACGACAACACGGATGTGTTTTATGAGATGGCTACCTGCTTTGGTCTCGGTCAGCCCAAGAATGCCACGCCCGTTGGTTGATGGGGTTTTAACGAGCAATTATAGAGTGGTTTGCTCGACTGTGTGATATCAAACTTCACTCGAGTGGCACTGGGTGTTGTGAGACTCGACCAATCTGATCCCCTGTAAGAGCGTCCTGGACAGCGAGTTGCATGCTCAGTGGGAAGTCGTGGATGCTTTCTTCCTCGGCAAATCAAGGCCAGGTCAGTCAATGCCCAACAATGCCGAAGCAAAGTACACGGAATCAGGTCGCCCGCCTTAACCGGTCAAGGATGGCCTCAACCTCAGTCTCGCGGTCACGCACGAGCTTGAGGATGCCGAAAACGAACCCGGCCCCCCCGGGACGCGTCGAGCCCCC